TGAGGTCAAAGAGGGAGAGACCGTCTGCCCTATCGCACTGTAGGAAAAGCTGCAGGTCATCTACCCAGACGTCAAAGTCAATGGCCCGAACCTCAGCGTCAAAAGTGAGGACACTAGGGGTAGCCATGACAGCAGTAGACTAGCAGCGCGAACAGTAGGGTAAGGGCAGTGCAGTGATAGAGGCGCTGCTCTTACCGGACAGGGCGGCTCGGGCGGCTCGGCGGCTCGGCGGCTCGGGCGGCTCGGCGGCTCGGCGGCTCGGCAGCAACTGCGGCTCGGCGACTCGGCGGCGCTGGCGGCTTGGCGGTATAGCGGCTCGGCAGCTCAGCGACCCGGCGGCTCGGGCGGCTCAGGTGGCGCGGCGGCTCGGGCGGCTCAGGTGGCTCAGGCGGCTTGGCAGTAGGTCGGCGGCGCCGGCGGCTCGGTGGTGACGGCGGGGCCGCGCGGGGACGGCGGCGGGGCCGGTAGAGGAAGCGCCGGGGCCGGGAAGGGTAGCGCCGGGGCCGCAGGGTAGGCGACGGGGCCAGCAGAGGCGGCGCCGGGGCCGGGAAGGGCGGCGCTGGAACGGGAAGGGCGGTGCCGGGGCCGCAGGGGTAGGCGACGGGGCCAGCAGAGGCGGCGCCGGGGCCGGGAAGGGCGCGCCGGGGCCGGGAAGGGCGGTGCCGGGGCCGGGAAGGGCGGTGCTGGGGCCGCAGAGGTAGGCGACGGGGCCGCAGGATAGGCGCCGGGGCTGCAGGGTAGGCGCCGGGGCCAGCAGGGTAGGCGACGGGGCCGCAGGGTAGGCGACGGGGCCGCGAGGGTAGGCGCCGGGGCCGCAAGGGTAGGCGACGGGGCCGCGAGGGCGGCTTGGAGGGGTCACTAGGGCGGCTCGAAGAGGCCGCGAGGGCGGCGCGAAAGGGCCGCAAGGGGGGCGCGACGCGACGGGGCCGCGAGGGCGGCGGAACGGGGCCGCGTGGGCGGCGCGACGAGGCCGCGAGGGCGGCGCGACGTGATGGGGCCGCGAGGGCGGCGCGACGGGGTCGCAAGGGCGAATCGACGGGGCCGCTAGGGAGGCGCGACGCGACGGGGCCGCGAAGGCGGCGCGACGGGGTCGTAAGGGCGGCGCGACGGGGTCGTGAGAGGGGAGCGCGACTCGGGCATGGCTGAGCGCGCTACGGGCAGGAAAAAAAAAAAAAAAAAAAAAAAAAAAAAAAAAAACGGTGGGCCTTAGGAACAGTTCCCACAGGGGAACCTGCTCTATACCATGTGTAATTGAACGAGAATGGAATGACTAAGGGAAAGTTGGGTACAAGTACAAACCCTAGAAAGATGTACCCCATATGTGCTACCCCACTATAGCCTACAGTAGCTATGTCATATAAATCTGACACCTCTTCCTTGTAGCTGCCGTGTAGAGCCTCTTCCTTGTAGCTGTCGTGAAGATACTCTCCTTCAAGCTGCCGTGTCTTGAAAACCGCGCCTTGAGCCGTGTCTTGAAACCCGGGCCATGAACCGGCGCCATGAAGGCTAATCTGCACATAAACTCGAACATGATGAAGGCCGCCGGCCGCCGGTCCCTCGGCTGCTCGTTGAAGGCCGCCGGTCCCTCGGCTGCTCGTTGAAGGCCGCCGGTCCCTCGGCTGCTCGTTGAAGGCCGCCGGTCCCTCGGCTGCTCGTTGAAGGCCGCCGGTCCCTCGGCTGCTCGTTGAAGGCCGCCGGTCCCTCGGCTGCTCGTTGAAGGCCGCCGGTCCCTCGGCTGCTCGTTGAAGGCCGCCGGTCCCTCGGCTGCTCGTTGAAGGCCGCCGGTCCCTCGGCTGCTCGTTGAAGGCCGCCGGTCCCTCGGCTGCTCGTTGAAGGCCGCCGGTCCCTCGGGCCGCTCCATGGGCAGAAACCGCACCTTCGGGGAAGCTCCGCTCCTTCAAGAGAAGTTCCGCGCCTTGCAGGAAGAACCACGCCTATGAAGCAAACTCTGAAAAACAAGGGAGAGAACAGAAAACAAGTTAGTTAACAGAAAACCGAAAAGTGTAAAACAAGAGAAAATGACAACCAAGCTAAAAGCTACCACAACTTGACGATGCACCATTGCTAAAAAGTAGATAGATAGATTGAAGCTGCCGTGTTTACATACCAGGAAGATCCTCTCCTTGACGTTGTTGTGTAGATCCGCTTCCTTCCGGCCTTGAAGAGAAGAACAGCGCCTTGAAGAGAGGATCCGCGCCTTGAAGTTCTGAAAAGCAAGGGAGAAAACAGAAACAAGAACACGAAGTTAGTAAAGAGAAAACCGAAACGTATAAAACAAGAGAAAATGACACGGTAAAACGATGGATCGGTCGTGACGCTCGGGCTGCAGCCAGCAGAGGGAGGATCTATGCTACCCGAGCCCATACCCAACCGCGAAGGATCATCTGCCAGCTGCAACCTCCGCGACAGAGGACCAGTGAGAACGTCGATAACAACGAATGGCGGATTGGCGGATTTCACATTAAAACGAAACAACAAATAAAGCGATGAAAGGAGGGAACGGGGAAGAGAACGGCACTTCCCAGTCGGTCGCGCTTGACGGAGAAGCAGCCGCGCGTCCAACATTCCGTCGCCCTTCGCACGCCACACGTAGAACACTGAAGTCAGGGAGAAGGCTCGATTGAAGGCCCGCGAAGCAAACCCATTATTCTTGAAAAGCATGGGAGAGGAACAATTGCACAAAGTTAGTAAACAGAAACACAAGGAAGCAAGAGAAAACGAAGACAAAACAGAAAAATGCGAAAATTGAAAATGAAACAACGAAAACGAGGTTGAAAAACGATGGATCGGTCGTGACGTTCGGGCTGCACCTAGCAGAGGGAGGATCTATGCTACCCGAGCCCATACCCAACCGCGGAGGATCATCTGCCAGCTGCAACCTCCGCGACAGAGGACCGGTGAGAACGTCGATAACAACGAATGGCGGATTGGCGGATTTCACATTAAAACAAAACAACAAATAAAGCGATGAAGGGAGGGGACGGGGAAGAGAACGGCACTTCCCAGTCGGTCGCGCTTGACGGAGAAGCAGCCGCGCGTCCAACATTCCGTCGCCCTTCGCACGCCACACGTAGAACATTGAAGTCAGGGAGAAGGCTCGATTGAAGGCCCGTGAAGCAAACCCATTATTCCTGAAAAGCACGGGAGAGGAACAATTGCACAAAGTTAGTAAACAGAAACACAAGGAAGCAAGAGAAAACGAAGACAAAACAGAAAAATGCGAAAATTGAAAATGAAACAACGAAAACGAGGTTGAAAAACGATGGATCGGTCGTGACGCTCGGGCTGCAGCCAGCAGAGGGAGGATCTATGCTACCCGAGCCCATACCCAACCGCGGAGGATCATCTGCCAGTTGCAACCTCCGCGACAGAGGACCGGTGAGAACGTCGATAACAACGAATGGCGGATTGGCGGATTTCACATTAAAACGAAACAACAAATAAAGTGATGAAGGGAGGGGACGGGGAAGAGAACGGCACTTCCCAGTCCATCTTCGTTGGCGGAGAAGCAGCAGCACGTCCCACGTCCGTCGCACGCCAGTCACGGGAAAGGTTGAGCTTCATATCGGTCAGATCAGGTGCCATTGTTGCTCTTGGACTGGCGGACGGCCAAGGTGATTAAGCCTGCGAGGATTACAATAGAAAAAAAGTCAGAACGTGATCAGATCAAAACATCTGAAAAAACGGATGTGCAAAACGACCACTAAGTCAAATAAACATGAATTATAGGTTGCTTACCTCTGGAGTTTACGGTAGGCTGGGCGGATGGTGGTGTGAGGACGGCAAATTAAAGTAGGCGTCGAGGGCGAATGGTGGTGGAACTCTAGGGGGTGCTGATTCAAAGCTTCTTTACTGCTCCATGAGCAGCTCGGCTTGTTCAGAGGCTTGAAATGTCAGAACATTATAGCTTATGCTTTTGTGTAGGCTATAGTGGGGTATCCCATAGGGGGTACAACCCAATTAGGGTTAGTACTTGTACCCACTATATTCATAGTTGATTCATTCGCGTTCACTCTTTCACATGGAATCAGAGCAGGTCCCCTCCTAGGGACTGTTCCCAGGGCCCACCGAAGCGCGCCCCGAGGCGCGCGTTCCTTTTTTTTAGCGACCCTCCGTGTCGCCCCTAGCGGCCCGTTACGCCGCCCTTACCTACGCGGCCCCGCCGCCCTTACCTACGCGGCCCTGCCGCCCTTACGTCGCGGCCCCGCCGCCCTCACGTCGCGGCCCCGCCGCCCTTACGTCGCGGCCCCGCCGCCCTCACATCGCGGCCCCGCCGCCCTCACGTCGCGGCCCCGCCGCCCTCACGACGCGGCCTCGCCGCCCTCACGTCGCGGCCCCGCCGCCCTCACGTCGCGGCCCCGCCGCCCTCACATCGCGGCCCCGCCGCCCTTACGTCACGGCCTCGCCGCCTCACCTTCGCGGCCTCGCCGCCCTCACCTTCGCGGCCCCGCCGCCCTCACCTTCGCGGCCCCGCCGCCCTCACCTTCGCGGCCCCGCCGCCCTTACCTACGCGGCCTCGCCGCCCTTACCTACGCGGCCCCGCCGCCCTTACGTCGCGGCCCCGCCGCCCTCACGTAGCGGCCCCGCCGTCTCACCTTCGCGGCCCCGCCGCCCTCACGTAGCGGCCCCGCCGCCTCACCTTCGCGGCCCCGCCGGTCTCCCCTCCTGCCGAGCCGCCCGAGCAGCCGCCCGCCACGCCGCCCGGTACCGGAGCAGCCGAGCCACCCAGCAGCAGCCGCCGGGCCGCCTGGCCGCCGAGCCGCGATTCAGCCGAGCCGCCCAGCAGCAGCCGCAGAGCCGCCAGGCCGCCGAGCCGCACTACAGCCGAGTCGCCCAGCAGCCGCCGCCGAGCCGCCGAGCCGCCGAGCCGCAGTACCGCCGAGCCGCCCCGCAGCCGAGCCGCACTACTACCGAGCCGCCCGACCTGCCCTGTCTGGTGAGCACAGCCCCACTACTACTGCGTGCCCTTCCCCCACTGCTTGCACTGCTAGTCTGTCGTCATGGCTACCCCTAGTGTCCTCGCTTTTGACGCTGAGGGTCGAGCCATTGACTTTGAGGTCTGGGTCGACGACCTGCAGCTGTTTTTACAGTGCGATAGGGCGGACGGTCTTTCTCTCTTTGACCTCACCTCTGGCGCCTCCCCTGCTCCTGCTGCTGATGCTGACCCCACTGTTCGCTCTCAGTGGGCCACCCACGATGCTGCTGCATGTCTTGCTGTGCGTCGCCACCTGCCTACCACTGAGCGCGCGCACTTTAGTCAGTACAAGAGTGCTCAGACCTTGTACGACGCTATAGTTGCGCGCTACTCTTCCCCTGCCACTGCTGCACTGAGCCGCCTCATGCTACCGTACCTCTTTCCTGACCTTGCTGCCTTTCCTACAGTCGCTGACCTCATCACACACCTCCGCACTTCTGACACTCGCTACCGCGCCGCACTTCCTGCTGAATTCTGCGCCAAGAACCCCCCCCCCCATGTACATCGCTCTCTATTACATAGTCACTCGCCTCCCTGACTCCCTTCGCGTAGTCAGGGACCACTTCCTCTCAGTCTGTCCCACCACCCTCACTGTCGACCTCCTCGAGAAGGCCCTCCTAGCGGCGGAGAAGAGCATAGTCGCTGTAGGAGCCTCTCGTGGTGACCCGCGCACCCCCATCTTTGAGGGGTGTTCTCCTTCCCCCCTGCTGCCCTCTGTTGCCTCTGCTGCTGCTGCCGACCTGCTTGGTCTTGAGTCGGTCGGCGCGGCGTCTGCCCCTAGCGGGAGACGCCGCCCTGGCAAGGGCAAAGGGGGCAAGGGCGCGGGTGGAGCTGGCGGGGGCGGTGGAGGTGGCAGTGGCGGTGGCGGAGGGAGTGGGGGTGGCGGTGGGAGTGGTGGTGGGGGTGGTGGTGGTGGTGGTGGCGGCAGCGGAGGCGGCGGCGGGAGCGGAGGTGGAGGTGGCGGTGGGAGCGGAGGCGGCGGTGGTGGCGGAGGTGGAGGCGGCGGTGGCGGAGGAGGTGGAGCCGGTCGGGGTAGTGCCCAGCAGCGGAGCGGCTCTGGTGGTGGTCCGCGCCAGCAGCAGCAGCAGCAGCAGCGTTCTCGGGACATCCCCCCGCCTCAGCAGCTCCGTGAGTGGTACACGCAGCGACAGCGTGGTGGGGGTCTTGGCCCGTGCACCTACGTTCTTCGTTTCAGCGACCGCGCGGATGAGCAGTGTGGGGGTGCCCACTCCACCCAGCGCTACTTTGGCCGCCTGACGGACGCTTGGTGTCAGCAGTTCCCCGAGGCTAGTGAGATTCCCCGCTGGGGAGAGCTGTCTAGGGCTGGCGTAGCGATCTTTGATCTTGACTTTGGTGCTATCCTTGCTGCCATATATGCTGTGACTATTAGTGATGAGGGTGACTGTTACCGGTGTTTCCCGCCCGACCCGGGCATTGGTACTGCTGCGCTAGGTGCTTGTGAGGCTGCTGCTCTAGGTGCCAGTGCGTCTGCACTCTCAGGTGCAGGTGAGGCTGCGCTCTCAGGTACTGCGTCGGCTTCGGCCTCCCTCACCTTCACACTTGACTCAGGGGCTTCTCGCTCCTTCTTTCGAGACCGCACCACACTCACGCCGCTTAGTCGGCCGGTTGCAGTCTCCCTGGCTGACCCCTCTGGGGGTCCTGTCCTCGCTCACTTCTCCACTGTCCTCCCGTGTCCGGCTGCCCCCTCGGGCACCCTGTCAGGTCTGTACCTCCCCTCGTTCTCGACGAACTTGGTGAGTGGTGCTGACCTGCAGGATGCGGGGGTTCACCAGTTTACTCCTGCGAGTCAGCGGGGGACCCACTGCTCGGACGCCCGCACAGGCCGACACCTAGCCACGTTTTCGCGTCGGCCCGGGTCGAGTCTCTACACCCTGACCATTGAGTCTCCTCCAGTCCCTGCGTCTAGCCAGGTAGCTGCGTCGGGTCAGGTGTTTGCTGCTGCGTCCAGGTCTGGTCCTGAGTCTGCCCCCTGCTCGTGTCGCCTCCTGTCTCACGAGACTCTCTTGTGGCACCACCGTCTTGGCCACCCCTCCTTGCCTCATCTTCGGGGCATGGCTTCCCGTGTCCTTGTCTCTGGTCTCCCCCGGTCTCTCCCTCCCCTTCCTTTGGGGCCAAGACCTTCCTGTGTCCCCTGTGTCGAGGGGCGGCTCCGGGCTGCCCCTCACTCCTCCCAGTTTCCCCCGAGAGAGGCTCCTCTGCAGACGCTTCACATGGACGTGTGGGGCCCAGCCCGCGTCCGTGGACAGGGTCACGAGCGCTACTTCCTGCTGGTGGTTGACGACTACTCGCGTTACACCACGGTCTTCCCCTTGCGCAGCAAGGGTGATGTCACTGGGGTGTTGATCGACTGGATCCGCGCAGCTCGTCTCCAGCTCAGGAGGAGCTTCGGCTCGGACTTTCCTGTTCTGCGTCTGCACTCTGACCGAGGCGGAGAGTTCTCCTCTGGCCTTCTGCGAGCCTACTGTCGGGCACGAGGCATCCGCCAGACCTTCACGCTTCCGGACTCTCCACAGCAGAATGGGATTGCTGAGCACCGCATTGGCATGGTCATGGACGTCGCTCGTACGTCCATGATGCATGCGGCTGCCCCCCATTTTCTGTGGCCGTTTGCGGTTGAGTACGCGGCGCATCAGCTCAACCTTCACCCCAGGGTCTCCCGGCCGGAGACCTCCCCAGCTCTGCTGTGGACGGGGAAGGTTGGCGATGCGTCTGCGTTCCGTGTCTGGGGATCTCGGGCGTTTGTCCGCAACTTGTCTGCGGACAAGCTGTCCCCTCGTGCTGCTCCCTGTGTCTTCCTAGGCTTCCCCCCTGACGCCCCAGGGTGGCAGTTCTACCACCCCTCCTCTCGTCGTGTTCTGTCCTCCCAGGACGTCACGTTCGACGAGTCTGTCCCCTTCTACCGCCTCTTCCCCTACCGCACTCCTTCCCTCCCCCCGCCACCGCTCTTCCTTGTGCCAGTTCCCCCCCCGGTAGACCCCCTCCCCCCTCAGGGTCCTGCCCCTTCACGTGTGTCCCAGGTCGATGTAGTTAAGCCGGTCGAGGTTGCTGGTGACTCAGGTACTGGTGGGGGTGCTGAGCCTGGGGTCGTTGCGCCTGGGGGTGCTGACTCTGTGGGTGCTGAGTCTGGGGGTGCTGAGCCTGGGGGTGCTGACTTTGGGGGTGCTGAGTTTGGGGGTGCCGAGCTTGGGGGTGCTGGGTCTGGGGGTGCTGAGCCTAGGGGTCCTGAGCCTGGGGGTGCTGAGCCTGGGGGTGCTGCCTCTAGGGGTGCTGCGCGCGAGGGTGCTGAGCCTTGGGGTGCTGCGTCTTGAGCTGCTGAGCCTAGAGGTGTGGAGCCTGCGGCCACCGGACCTCCCCTTGTGGCGTCTGGCGGTGCTGGGCCTGGAGGTTCTCCGGGTGTTTCGTCTCGGCGGGAGCCACTCTCTCCATAGGAGCTGCGTGAGTGGTTTGCTCGCCGCTGGAGGCGTACGGCTGGAGCTGGCGCTTCTTCGACCGCTGAGGGTGCTGGTGCCGCCGGTCCCGGAGCTGCTGGGCCTGCGGGTCCGCCTGGAGCTGGAACTGCTGAGGGTGCTGGTTTTGAGACTACTACTGTCAGTCCTGGTGGTGGTCGTACTGCGGGTGCTGCTGGTGCTACTGGAGGTCCTGCCGCTGAAGGTGCTGTTGGCGCTGGTGCTGCCGAAGGTGCTGAGGGTGCTGGTGCTGTCCCTGCTGTGTCTGGAGCTACAGCGCGGCCTCGGCCGTACTTTGTTCCGCTTCTTCAACAGGTTCTTGGTCTTCCTCCTCTCTTAGAGTGTCCACCGCCTGTCCAGTCGCAGTCACAGTTACCGCCGGCCTCCCCACTGCCTTCTCCTTCACCTTACACTGGCCCTACTGGAGGTCTTGCTGAGCGACGTGAGCTTGCGTCTCGTCCTGCGTCGCCTGTTCGTGCGGCTCGCACTAGTGGTCGGAGTTTGCATCAGCGTCCTCCTCCTGTCCCTGGCACGCACCGGATGTCTCTGCGTCCGTCCACTGCTTCTCTACGTGCCCCTTTGCCCTCTCCTCCTGAGTCCTCTCTTCCTGCGCTTCCCGACCCTGAGTCGGACTCTTTTCGTGCTACCAGTCCTACTGTCACGCGTCTCCTTGCTACTGTCGTCACTGACCCCTCCTTTGAGTCCACTGCTGCGTCTGCTCTTGTTGCTGAGCTCGTCGACTTTGCTGCTCGCTGTCGTCTAGACTACGCTGCTAGTCTTGTTGCTGAGTCTGCGTCTGTCTGTCCTCCGTCCGTCGGGGGTGAGTGTGCTCTTGGCACGGACGTCCTTGAGGACAGGCAGGAGGAGTTTCAGTATCTGGCTACTGCTTCACCTCATCTCGCGTCTGTACTGCTTGCCCCTGAGGGAGACCAGGATGCACTACACATCCCGACTCCGCGCTCTTACGCGGAGGCCGTAGAGGGTCCCTACTCGTCTCAGTGGCAGGCAGCTATGGATGCAGAGATGGCTTCCTGGAAGTCCACAGGCACCTACGTAGACGCGGTTCCCCCTCCTGGGGCGAACATCGTCAGTGGCATGTGGATCTTCAGGGTGAAGCGGCCGCCGAGCTCTCCACCTGTCTTCAAGGCGCGGTACGTGGCTCGTGGCTTCAGTCAGCGGCAGGGAGTTGACTACTTTCAGACCTTCTCTCCCACCCCGAAGATGACCACTCTTCGGGTGCTGCTGCACATAGCCGCTCAGCGCGACTATGAGCTCCACTCTCTTGACTTCAGCACTGCTTTCTTGCAGGGCAGCCTGCACGAGGAGATCTGGCTGCGCCGTCCACCTGGCTTCACTGGGACTTTCCCTACTGGCACCTAGTGGAGCCTCCGACGGCCGGTCTACGGTCTCCGCCAGGCACCGCGTGAGTGGCACGACACACTGTGGACTACGCTTGCGGCTCTTGGGTTTGCTCCCTCTAGTGCTGACCCGTCGTTGTTTCTGCGCACCGACACTTCTCTGCCGCCGTTCTACATCCTCGTGTACGTCGACGACTTGGTCTTTGCCACAGCGGACACTGCTGGACTCGCCTACGTGAAGTCCGAGCTGCAGAAGAGACACACGTGCACAGACCTGGGTGAACTGCGCAGCTACCTTGGCTTGCAGATCACTCGGGACAGAGCACGCCGCACCATTACCTTGACTCAGTCACACATGGTGCAGCAGGTCCTTCAGCGCTTCGGCTTCACGTACTCCTCGCCTCAGGCCACTCCTCTGCCTACTCGCCACTCGCTCTCAGCTCTGCCTTCGGATGAGTCCGTAGAGTCGAGTGGCCCGTACCCAGAGCTTGTTGGCTGCCTCATGTACCTGATGACCTGCACACGACCTGACCTTGCATACCCTCTTAGCATTCTTGCACGCTATGTTGCTCCTGGGAGACACCGACCAGAGCACATGGCTGCAGCGAAGAGGGTGTTGCGCTACTTGTGCAGTACGTCGGGCATGGGGCTAGTGCTTGGAGGGCGGAGTCCAGTGGTCCTCAGTGGGCACGCGGACGCTTCTTGGGCTGACGACCAGGCTACTCAGCGGTCGTCGCAGGGTTACACCTTCAGTCTTGGTTCCGGCTCTGTTTCGTGGCGGGCTACTCGCTCGTCTTCTGTTCTCGGCTCCAGTTGTGAGGCTGAGATCTACGCCGGGGCCATGGCTGCTCAGGAGCTTCGCTGGCTCACCTACCTGCTGACTGACCTTGGAGAGCCACCTCGTTCTCCTCCAGTGTTGTACGTAGACAAGAAGGCCATGCTGGCCTTGTGTCAAGAGCAGCGCCTGGAGCACAGAACGAAGCACATTGCTCTCCGCTACTTTCTTGCTCGTGAGCTGCAGCAGCGTGGTCAGTTGCGACTTGCGTACGTGGCCTCTGAGGCCAACACTGCTGATGTCTTCACCAAGGCACTTCCGCCTTGTGATCATCAGCGTTTCTGCACTCAGTTGGGACTTGTCCCAGTCTTGCCTCACTTGCTCACCTCTTGATCTTACTTGTACTCTTGCATATATATTTACCTGCTCTTGCTTGTTTAGACTTATATATATGTCTCATCCTGCATGTGAACTGGCCTTGTGGCCTTGACCTTGTGCTCAGACTGTGTGGTGACGTTGTGATCCACCCTGAGCTTGCTTTGCTTTACTTTGCTTGACTGGTCTTGTGACCCCTTGTTCTCCCCCACATTGCCTATGGGGGTGTGTCAGAACATTATAGCTTATGCTTTTGTGTAGGCTATAGTGGGGTATCCCATAGTGGGTACAACCCAATTATGGTTAGTACTTGTACCCGCTATATTCATAGTTGATTCATTCGCGTTCACTCTTTCACATGAAAGTGGAGAGCAGCAGCTCGGCAGTTTGGCCATTGGACTTGAACGCTTATTGAACGTGCAAAAATTCAAACCACAAAGAGTCAGAACACAAAAAACATTGAAGGCAAGAACGCTCAATAGATAAAATGCGTGAAAAAAAAAAAAAAACAAAGTAGCCATAACAACTTGAAGCTTACCTCTGGAGATCTAAAGGCAGGCTGGGCGGAGAGCGGTTTCGGGATGGAGGCGGGTTGCTGGTTGGCGACGGGGGCGAATGGTGGTGAGCGATCTCCAGGGTCAAATGGCGGGTTGCTGGTTCACGATGGGGTCGAATGACGGTCGTCCAGATGAAGCTTGTTGATGAAGTCTGAAGACTTGGTCTAATGCTGCGGTTCAGCAGCTCGGTTGTTCAGGGGCTTAGTATCATGAAGACGTTGTCAAAGCAACGGTGGTTTACATAACATATCCGAATGAGGATTAAGGAGGCTCTAGGCCTAGCCGTATTGGGAAGACGAGGGTTGAAACTTGGTAGATTTTGGCTGCCTAGAGCGCCGCTAGACTTTCGCGGCTATTTTTGGCCGCCCTAAGGTGACTCTGTGAGCAACGTTGGGGCATGGGGAGGATGGAGCAGACGATCGATTGGAGCACTGCGGTCCGTAAGCCACTGCAGTGAGCGGTGGATTGCAGAAACCCTAGGATGTGGTGTGCACAAAAAGACTTTTGTTTTAGGTAAGCAGATCGCATGCAATTATATAACTCTATTACAAAACTTGCAGCTTATAATCCTCACCATTTCTTTGCTTTCGTCAGTCCATAATTACGAGACTGAAACTTATTGATCGCTGCCCATGTGAGACTTTCACGCTTCGATTTATCCAAACGCTTGTGGAAGGCGATGGTATGGTTGGGTTGAGCAGTGCAGTTTTGAACTGTCAGAGAACTACAGTGGGCGGCGATAGCTGCAATCCCTCCCGCCCGGGGGGCATGGTGCACCACCAGTGGCTAGGCAAGAACAATGTTTGGGGTAAAGAGAAAGGCGTATGCCTTGCTTTTCAAAAACATTTTGTTACTCCGTTGCTTATAAATGATCTCGCATTCCACGCCCAGTTTTTACCACGCCCAGTTTCCATGAATGCAAATTGTGGTTGCGATCCTTATGTCAGAACATTATAGCTTATACATTTGTGTAGGCTGTAGTGGGGTAGCCCATAAGGGGTACAGCCCAATTAGGGTTAGTACTTGTACCAAACTGTTTCATAGTTCATTCATTCCATTCTCACTTCTCGTCATGGTATCGAGCAGGCTCCCGAGTGGGAATACTGCCTAGGGCCCACCACGAACTTTTTTTTTCCTTCCCTGCCCGGAGCGCGCTTAGCTCCTAACTCGAGTAGCACCTCGAGCCGCCTTAGTGGCCCCTATTGGCCGCCCTTACTGCCCCTCGAGCCGCCCTCTACGGCCTCGCTTAGGCCGCTACGGCCCCGCTACGGCCCCGCTTAGGCCCCGCTACGGCCCCGCTACGGCCCCGTCGGCCCCGCTTAGGCCCCACTATGGCCCCGCTACGGCCCCGCTTAGGCCCCGTCGGCCCCGTCGGCCCCGCTTAGGCCCCGCTACCGCCCCACTACGGCCCCGTCGGCCCGGTTACGGCCCCGCTACGGCCCCGCTACGGCCTCGCTTAGGCCCCGCTACGGCCTCGCTACGGCCCCGCTACGGCCCCGCTACGGCCCCGCTACGGCCCCGACGGCCCCGTCGGCCCCGCTTAGGCCCCGTCGGCCCCGTCGCGGCCCCGCTCAGGCCTTGCTTTGGCCCCGTCGGCCCCGCTTAGGCCCCGCTACGGCCCCGTCGGCCCCGTCGGCCCCGCTACGGCCCCGCTACGGCCCCGTCGCGGCCCCGCTTCGGCCCCGTCGGCCCCTCTACGGCCCCACTTAGGCCCCGCTTCGGCCCCGTCGGCCCCTCTATGGCCCCACTTAGGCCCTGCTACGGCCCCGTCGCGGCCCCGCTACGTCGCCCACTTCGGCCCCGTCGCCACAGCGGCCCCGCCCACCCTTGCGGCTCGCCGCCACCTGCAACCTCGCCACCATCTGCGACCCCGCCTCCCAGCGCCCGCAGCGCCGAACAGCCAAACCGCCGGCCACCTGAGCCGCCCGACCGCCCGAGCCGCCCAGCAGCCGAGCCGCCCGACAGCCGAGCCGCCCAGCAGCCGAGCCGCCCAGCAGCCGAGCCGCCCAGCAGCCAAGCCGCCCGACAGCCGAGCCGCCCAGCACCGTGCAGCCGAGCCGCCCAGCAGCCGAGCCGCCCAACAGCCGAGCCGCCCTGCAGCCGAGCCGCCCGACAGCCGAGCCGCCGAGCAGCCCGATCGCTCCACCTACCTGGTAAGAGCATAGTCTCTGCCTCTGCACTGCCCTGCCTGTTATAGTCTAGAGTCCACTTAGGGGTCGTAGATGCCCTTGAAACCACCTCAGCAGAATCTGACGACTTCAAACCGCCTCTGTTCAAAACGTCGTCACGATCAGCTCCGATATCAAACGAAGCTGAAACTTGGACAGGCGTTAGCTTCAAGTGTCTGCTTTCTAACGGTATATAGCTTGCTTTCATCAGAGATGTATGCGCTACGCAGTGAACAAAAACGTAAGCTCGGCTGAAAAACGAGTAGTTTCATTGATGCAAGGAAGAGGTTGAGTACAACATTGCCTAGGGGACTCTTAAGGGGTTGGGACCATCCTGGGAACTCAGAGAAGGTTGAGTCCTAGGGGAGAAAGGCTAGAGAAGGATGGGAAACGTCCTAGCTAGGTCAGCAAAGCCAACCACACTTGGATGTTCAGAGCTGTACTCAAGGCTACCAATAGTGAGTCAAGCCAACCATGAGTCAGCTTGTCTTCCCACTTGCACCCTCTTGCAAGCTGCTTCCAGGAAGACCACACTTCTCAAAAGGAGGGTGGTAGAGTCCCACTTGACCACCTGTACTTCTTGTCTCATTCCCTGTCCCTGCACCATTGGCATGACAACAATGAAAGGGTGGCAAGGGAAATGCTGCCAACAGTGCACCATGACTACGGAACAGTAACTTTCGACAGCTGTCACGTGCTGCTCCGATGCTGGGTTGTCCTGAAACTCGGTGAACACCTGCAAAACAAGGCACAGGACTGCCACACTAATTTTCAGACCAATAAAAGCTCGGTAGATGAGTCAGCAGCCGAAATGGTGAACTCGGGTGTTACCAAAAAAGAGTAACACACACTTCCGGGATGCCATAAATCTTGAAACTAAAAATGTTGCCATGCCTTGTAAACTACTTCAATGATTCTGAAACTTTGAGGGTATGAAAAACACATGTTCAAGCACCACCCCACAAAATTCCAGAAGCTGAGCAGGCTTGTAGGCTGAATGGGAGTGCGATGACCGTGCCACTGTAGTACTTTGGCACAACACTGCCTCCTGCGGTTATGGCTTCCCCTAGCGTTCTCACCTTTGACGCTGAGGGTCGGGCAGTGGACTTTGAGGTCTGGGTAGATGATCTGCAGCTTTTCCTGCAGTGTGATAGGGCAGACGGCCTCTCCCTGTTTGACCTCACTTCTGGTGCCTCCCCTGCCCCTGCTACTGATGCTGACGCCACTGTTCGCTCACAGTGGGCCACACGTGACGCTGCTGCTCGCCTTGCTGTGCGCCGCCACTTACCGACCACTGAGCGTGCACACTTTAGCCAGTACAAGAGTGCTCAGACCTTGTACGATGCTGTAGTTGCACGCTACTCTTCCCCTGCCACTGCTGCACTGAGCCGCCTCATGCTACCGTACCTCTTCCCTGACCTTGCTGCCTTTCCCACAGTCGCTGACCTCATTACGCACCTCCGCACTAGTGACACTCGCTACCGCGCTGCGCTTCCTGCTGAGTTCTGCGCCAAGAAACCCCCCCCAATGTACATCACCCTCTACTACATAGTCACCCGTCTCCCTGACTCTCTCCGTGTAGTCAGGGACCACTTCCTCTCTGTTTGCCCCACCACTCTCACCGTTGACCTCCTCGACAAGGCCCTCCTAGCCATAGAGAAGAGCATAGTCGCTGTAGGAGCCTCTCGTGGTGACCCTCGCACCCCCGTCTTTGAGGGGTGTTCTCCCTCCCCCCTCTTGCCCTCTGTTGCCTCTGCTGCTGCGGCCGACCTCGTTGGTTTCGAGTCGGTCGGCGCTGCGTCTGCCCCGAGCGGGAGACGCCGCACCGGCTAGGGCAAGGGGGGCAAGGGCACTGGAGGAGGTGGAGGGGGCGGTGGAGGTGGTGGTGGAGGCGGTGGAGGGAGTGGGGGTGGAGGTGGGAGTGGTGTTGGGGGTGGCGGCGGCGGCGGCAGCGGTGGAGGCAGCGGAGGCGGTGGAGGTGGCGGAGGGAGCGGAGGCGGCGGAGGTAGTGGAGGAGGCGGAGGTGGAGGAGGCGGCGGAGGCGGCGGCGGCGGAGGCGGCGATGGTGGAGCGAGTCGCAACTCTGCGCCGAGTAGTGGCGCCGGTGGTGGTCAGCGCCAGCAGCAGTAGCGGAGTGGTGTGACCCTGTCCCCTCAGCAGCTTCGTGAGTGGTACACTGCACGCCAGCGCGGTGGGGGTTTTGGTCCCTGCTCTTACGTTCTCCGTACCGGCGACCGCACTGGTGAGCAGTGCGGAGGTCCGCACTCCACCCAGCGCTGCTTTGGTCGCCTGA